GAAATTTTCTAAGCAAAACCTATGCACCTTGATTCCATGTTGTTTTCCCGCCCCTACCCCCAGGTGTCATGATTTGAACATACTTGTATCTAGATAACCTAAGGATACTTCCATATAAATATTACTTATCATGGCTGTGCTATTCTTGAGAAGATTTTTAAAGAATTTTTCTGTGTAAAACTTTGATCAGCCATTATGGCCCTACCTTACCCCCGGGGGTCATGGTTTGTTTCATCTTTCTTGGTACACTTGTTTCTGGGAAGATTTTTAAAACATACCACGAAATTTTCCCTATTTCCGAATTATCTCCCCTTGAAAAAGTGTGTGGTTCTTCATTTGAACAAACTTGAATTCCCTTTACCCAAGAAAACTTTGCGCCAAGTTTGGTTAAAATTTTCCCAGTGGTTTTTGGACGACTACGACGACGACCACAACGAGGACAGACAACGGAAAAATTTTGATCAGAAAAGCTCACTTTAGCTTTCAGCTCAGGTGAGCGAAAAAATCGAAACCGCCAGTAAATACAGCATAACATAAGATTGAAGCATTTAGTGACGCATCGTGAAATCATGACGTACCTAGTGACGCCTGACCATCATCATAGTTTCTTTGACTTCTGTGCCCTTTTCAACTGGTGGATACCAAACCCAACTCCATTTGGATGAAGACCAGATGTCATTGAAGAAGGCGTAGTGACAGTGGTTATACCACCAGCCTCCTCCTCCTCCTCCATACCAGTTAGCAGCACAGTGACCGGTATGTCTGTCGTTATCCACGTCCGGGGTGCTGAAGTACATCCCTGACACATCTCTGTACGAATCACCAGTGTCTAGCATCCTGTCACCTATATAATGAACGGAAAATTGTTAGTAGTACATATCATGGCCGTAGGAACCGGGGACGTATGGAGGGTGGGTGTCCTGCATCTCATCCCATATCTGACGTTTGGAGTTCAGTGTTTGCTATGCTCTTTTTTGTATTGTTGAATGGACTTTTGAGCTTTGTCTGTTTATAGCTCCATATACTTCATCTTTCATAGACACTTGACAGTTTCATACAACATTGTATGGTCTTCAATCTGAATAAACAGCTACCTCATGGACATTTATTGTACTCTTTGTGATAGTCATATAAGTAAGATCTACAAACTTCGTGTGATGTACTATTTGGTTATAATGGTGTGCTCTTATGTAGGTGAAATGTGGCTTTACCTTTAAGAAGATTACAAGCCGAGAAAGTAATGGTATGGCATGATAAAGATACTGAGAGATCGTTTACACAACATAGATTCCAAGAAAAAATGGAATTCTAAATCCAACTTTAAAAAGTGCATTTTTATGTATGCCATTTACTCTGACGATAAAAGGAATTTACGCTGATATGATATATGAATTGGACTTGTTCTTATACATATCATGTACTTTGATAAAAAATACAGGTTCGATGTACTCCGACAAATTATGGAGATAATTATTGTACGTACTCCGACACAATACAGGCGTGATTACTACGACACAATGCAGATGTGATGTACTACAATACGATATAGATGTCATGTACTAGACATGATATAGATTTTATTTACTACGACACGATACAATTGTCATGTACTACGACAAGATAGAGATGTAGTTTCACATGCTTCAGATGTGATGTACTCCTACACAATATACACGTGATGCAACAGGATTTTTTCAGAGCTCTCTTTTAATATTAAAGCAGAACAATGCAATGAGAAAAAAATATAAATTATATAAATGTGTATATAACATGACTTTTTTTTGGAAATACAATATAAACACATTTATATAACTCAGCATTCTCTGTATATATTTGTTGCTCTTACTCTTTGACCCTTTCTCCTTTTTCTTAGCATGGTAGACACTCACAGTCACATACCTAAGGTTCCTGTGGCAGGTCCTCCCAAAAAGAATTGATATTTCCCTGTTTCATCGGAGATAGAGAATCGATCGTACGTTTCATACAGCGTCGTACCATTCTGGAGAGTGATGGACACATAAAGGGACGAGTTCTTTCTCTTTGTTAACAGATGGATTACGTCATTTCCTATATTAAAATATTACTAAAAATCAACTGTAAAATATATTGCAAAGCAAGAATGTTATTTTGAATATGAATTTACCATCTCTAAAAATTAAGCTATTTACTTGGGCTATAGACAGTAATGCAAAATTTTGTCTCCTTTAAAGACTCTTACGCTGAGTGATTTAATCCTCTTGTACTCTTTTTTATGTAAGATTTCAATCAAACATGATCATAGAGTATTGTCTAATACATATTACCCAGTCTCAATTTAGATATTTGATACGCTTACATTTCCATTATATGCTGCAATAAAAACATTTTGTTAAATATGAACCGCTCAAAGAATGGGTGGACTTAACTGGCTAGAAAAATGTTCCATAAAATGTTAAATTTTTTCCAACATATTAACCCCCCATATCTTAACTGTATATTTTGGTACAGGCGTGAATTTAAAATGCTCTTTTTGAGGTAAACTAAATAAATATCGAAGGCATGCCGGAAGATTTCTTGAATATCAATACTGACAATAGATAAGCAGGGTCACGCATTTTTCATCGTCTGAATACATAGTCAGCGCATGTTTGTCGGCTGTTCTTACGAAAACTGTAGCTGTATATTGAACAAAATAATGTCATATTAAACGGAGAAAAGCCGACAAATGTGCGCTCACTCTTAATTTAACAAAAAACATGTTCAAAACAAACTTCTCGCTTTCCATTGAAATGTCTTCGATTGACCTGATGAATATTACAATTCGTCACGTGATGTCTACCTACGAGTGTACTCTTGAAAACAGTTACATTGTATTCTTCAACTGACCTCGATCTAAATCATGTCTTTGAGCGTTTTTTGTAGCCGTTTTCAGAATTTAGCAAAATTAAATATTGTTTTAATTTTGCGTGTCATCACATTTTTAAAATAATTTCATATCGCTGTAATACAGTATGCTAAACACGTATTCGAATTTTTAGAAAGAGAGGGGGATAGAGAGAGAAATGACAACATCGACACCGATCGATAGCCCTGCCTCCTATAAATATTGACTGTGTGACATAAAAACCACTCCGGGTACATGTCGAATTCCGGAAGACGACACTCATGAATCGTTGTTCTAATTTGATACACGACAACGGGGCATTGTTTTTGCACAAATGTTCCACCTAATATAGCCAATTATATGTTGCTCTTTCCATTGCTCATGATTTATTTTGGATTCACTTTATTTACAGATTGTTAGAGGAGTCGCAAAAAGATCCAAAATAGGGCGTTAAGTCCCCCCATTCTTTCCCTCTTAAAAAGAGATTTATTCTTACCAATCCAGTAATCCTGTTCTGGGGCACCAAAACCATTCTTGTATTCCGTCCAGCTCCTATTGAAACTTACAGATCCGTCTACTCGTTTTTGAATCGCCTTAAAAATTATCAATTATAGCAATATACAATTCACTGTTCTGAACAATTGTATAATCCATGTGTTATGATATGAAACTCGTATTTTATTATCGTTTTATAGAATCGAAACACTTAATAGGAATTATATAACTCAAAGTAAATTTAACATTTGTACAAACCGCCCACCCTCCGCCCATTGTGGTCATATGACAGAACACGAGGACAGGAATGGTAATGGTCCCATATGGGTATATGTCGTACACCCCGGAATCATAGCGACCATCTGTATAAAGGTCCGTACAATCTAAGGGAATTACTGAAAAAGGGAAAATAAAATACTAGAATCTTTTAATTATTTGTAAATACAGGTATTGAGAAGAGGATACCTGTGAGACACATTAAGGATAAGTGTTGGAAATAAAATGTTGTTGGTAATCCAAACATCACTTGTATTTCTTACTTGTAGGAATGTTGAAGTGGAATCCATTTAAACAATAAAATTGCTTTCTTTAGTTGTTAGTACGGGAATGAATGTCGAAGCTTTTGCAGGAAAAAAGTAACTCGAGTGGGTTGTAACCAACAAACGACTAAGGGAGAAAAATAACAGTAATACGTACAGTCATGTGAGTAGTATCTCCAGCCAGTCTCATTAGACACTCCCGAAGTAAAAACCCTCTTGTGGATTCGACATTTCTGAATCTGAGGATTAAAGCCATAGAAGCTACACTTGCCTTGACACATCGTGGCACACTCGATCAAAGAATGAGAATCATATTCTCCTAAAATTTCGTTATTTGATTTCTTATCATTAAACTCTGGTTTCAAAGAATATTTATGAGAAAAAATTTTTGCTTCGGATAAAGCTATGAAGCCGACAATCAAAAAAATTTCATAAAGATTACTCATTTTTAAAGTTTAAGAAAGAAAACGACTGCTGCGGTCTTGTTAAATTTTGTGTTTTGCGAAATGGTTTTAAAACTGCCATATATATATGCATAAATATATATATCGGAATCGTAATAAATGCCTGAAAAGTGATTGGCTAACTGTTACGCACTCTTTAATTATTGTTGTTCAGTACCGATTTTATTAGAGTTAATATTTTGAAAAAAAAATTACTACAGCAATTTAAACTAGTGCTAATTGTAACGGGGACCGTTACAGATGTTCCCCAAACGCTCCCCAACTCCCTTTTGGTGCCATATTCCCTGTAAGCTTCATTAAATAAGACAAACTCGATGCATTTGAGACTTTAATAACGTTTACCCAGAAGTGTACAAAGTTCATTCAAATTTTGCGTGCGTATGTGAATGCATGTGCGTAATGACCATATCATCTATATATTTTTATATACTAAATATTAAAGCATTTAATCCAAAAGTAATAAAAAGATACCCTCATTCAAGTGTTCTTTTTTTTATTTTGCTCATTTCACGTGCACGCACGTGCATACATGAGCATGGTGACCATATCTTCCTGTAGATGTCCGTTACATCTATCAATGTTCTAAATCCCACCCTGTTTGGTTGAAAACCAGGGGAGTTATAGCTGTTTAAAGTTTCAGCCAATCAGATTGCAGCCAAAGTACACGCACCTGTATGCATGTGCATGGTGACCACACCTTCTTGTAGTAGTCTAGTATATCTATCTATGTTCCAAATCCCATCCTGTTTGGTTGAAAATCAAGGGAGTTATAGCTATTTAAAGTTTAAGCCAATCAGATTGCAGCGCACGTGCATGCACGTGTTTTCATGATAATTGCTATATATCTTTTTGTAGGATATCCTAATGCATGGCTATTTTCAAAATTTCAAAGGATTTCGTCAAAAAATAAGAAAGATATTGAGACTTTAGTTTCAGCCAATCAGAGCAAAGCGCACGTGCATGCGCGTGAGATCTTGCTATTTTGACCATGTCATATTGTCTATGCTTCTAATATATCCTTATATTATAAGTTTCAAAGCATTTCATCAAAAATTTAAAAAGTTACGCCTATATCAATTAAATCGGTCATTTCACATGTTGCACGTGCACGCTCTTGCAAGCACGTGCGCGGAAAATGACCTTCGTTCCACAAATCTACATAACATGTCTACTGACCCTAAAAACATTTCACCTTAGTCGGATGTATAGTTTACGAGATCAATCCCGGACAAAAAAGTACCCAGGAAGAGGAAGAAGAAGAAAAATAATAATAACTAGATGCGTTCTTGTTGCTAAAGCAACAAGCGGTCTTCCGACTGACTTTTTGTTAGAGATCTATGCTGCGTCATCCCATGAAATAGATTTCAGAATGTTTTTTTTTCCCCTTTACGTTCATTTACAGCAGTCTCTTAACATATATCATGATTATTACAGATAAACCTCAAAATATCTTTAAATATAGCTTTTAAAAATCGGCAAAATATTTCATACATGTTATAAAAGTGAGAAAAGTCATTTACTATTGAAAAAAAGAAACAAACAAAGAAAAAATTTGGGAACGCCCACGGCGGGATTCGAACCCCCGAAAGTGGGACAAAGTTTGGTTCGGTCATATCTTTTCAATAAATGCAGGCATCAAGATTCTGAACACATATTAAGAATTCTCATAAGACACACTATAAACCCTGTAAATCCTAAAGAAAAATATCAAAAAACAAAAAAGTTGAAAAATGGGACTTTTTGAATTCACTTCCGTTTGCGACCGGAAGTGCCGACGACGAAAAATAAAGGTCGTTGTTCAGATTGGAGTTCGATGTTCTATTACATCAGTGAGTTTCACTTTCATATCTTTAGCCGTTCTCGAGAAAACTGCTGGACAAAATGCCTTTTTAAAAATACAAAAATCCCCAAAAAATCGCGAACAAAAGTGAATTTCGAAAAAATGAAAAACACCTCTGGAGATATTATCATGATGCATCATCCCTGTGAAAATCTTTCAAATCCATCCACGCACAGCTGAGATATTGCCCTAACTATGAAAAAAAGAAAAATAATAATAATAATAATAATAAAAAAACAGACGAATAACAATAAGGTCTTCCGAAGGAAGTCGGAAGACCTTAACTAGATGCGTTCTTGTTGCTAGAGCAACAAGCGGTCTTCCGACCGACTTTTCGTTAGAGATCTAAGCTGCCTCATTCCATTTCAGAATTTTTTTTTGTTTACGTTCATTTACAGCAGTCTCTCAACATATAGCATGATTATTACAGGTAAACCTCAAAATATCTTCAAATATAGCTTTTAAAAATCGGCAAAATATTTTATACATATTATAAAAGTGAGAAAAGGCATTTGCAATTGAAAAATGACAGAAACAAAGAAAAAATTTGGGAACGCCCACGGCGGGATTCGAACCCCCGACAGTGGGACAAAGTTTGGTTCGGTCATATCTTTTCAATATATGCACGCATCAAGACACGGAACACATATTTAGAATTCCCATTAGACACACTATAAACCCTGAAAATCCTAAAGAAAAATATCAAAAAACAAAAAAGTTGAAAAATGGGACTTTTTGAATTCACTTCCGTTTGCGACCGGAAGTGCAGACGACGAAAAATAAAGGGCGTTGTTCAGATTGGAGTTTGATGTTCTATTACCTCAGTGAGTTTCACTTTCATATCTTCAGACGTTCTCGAGAAAACTGCTGGACAAATTGCCTTTAAAAAAAAACAAAAATCCCCCAAAATCGCGTACGAAAGTGAATTTCGACAAAATGAAAAACACGTCTGGAGATATTCTCATGATGCATCATCCCTGTAAAAATCTTTTAGATCCGTCCACGCACAGCTGAGATATCGCTCTAAGTATGAAAAAAAGAAAAATAATAATAATAATAACTAGATGCGTTCTTGTTGCTGGAGCAACAAGCAGGTCTTCCGACCGACTTTTCGTTAGAGTTCTATGCTGTGTTATTCCAGGAAATAGATTTCAGAGTGCTTTTTTTTGTTTACGTTTATTCATAGCACTCTCTTCACATTACATCAGGATTACTACAGGTATATCTCAAAATATCTCTAGAAATAGCTTATAAAAATCGGCAAAATATTCCATACATGTTGAAAAATAGAGAAAAGTCATTTGCAAATGAATAAAAGGCAGAAACAAAGAAAAATTTTTGAAACGCCCCCAGCGGGATTCGAACCCCCGACAGTGGGATAAAGTTTGGTTCGGTCATATCTTTTCGATATATGCACGCATCAACAAATTGAACATATATTTAGAGTTATAATATTACACTCTATAAACCCTGAAAAAACTAAAGAAAAATATTGAAAAACAAAAAAGTTGAAAATTTGCACTTTTTGAATTCACTTCCTTTTGCGACCGGAAGTGCCGACGACGAAAAATAAAGGTCGTTGCCCATAATGGAGTTCGATTTTCTATCACCTCAGTGAGTTTCACTTACATATCTTTAGCCGTTCTCGAGAAAACTGCTGGACAAAATGCCTTTTAAAAAAAACAAAAATCCCCAAAAATCGCGAATGAAAAGGATTTTTGAAAAAATGGAAAACACGTCTGGAGATATTTTCATGATGCATCATCCCTGTAAAAATCTTTCAAATCTGTCCACGCACAGCTGAGATATCGCCCTAACTATGAAAAAAAGAATAATAATAATAATAATAATAAAAAACAGACGAATAACAATAAGGTCTTCCGAAGGAAGTCGGAAGACCTTAAAAACAGACGAATAACAATAAGGTCTTCCGAAGGAAGTCGGAAGACCTTAATAACTAGCAAAGCAACGAGTAGATCTTCCGTCCGGTTTTGACCGGAAGTGCCGAAAGTGACATAAAAAAAGAAAGCAATGAGCTAAGTCGTCTCCAGTCACTTTATAATTTCAATTTTGCATCAAAAACCTTTAAAATAAACCATTTCTGGCTACTTCCGGTCTGATCGTAAGTGACGCCGACGGACGGAAAATTAATTTGTATGCTCCCAGAGACATATGTTATCCAAAAACCTGTCAAGAACGGCAAAAATACGCGTTTTCCGACTACTTCAGGTTTGGCCGGAAGTGACGACGCCGGACGTATTTTGACGACTTCACTAAATAAAGCTTGACATTTTGAACAACTTTGCTTCTTTGACGTATTACAAATTCTCAATACTTTTTGAGATATAAAGGAAAAACATTCGGCCCCTCTAGTCCCTTAATTTTAGGGGCCAGCCCTTTTCTCGAGATATCATTTGAAAGATCTTGAAATTCTACACTTTTTTTGTTCTATATGTTTTAACAAAATATTTCCAAGTAAAAATATATTGTAGAAAAGGTGTTGTAAATTTTGAAATTTGCGATACGACTATTTTCGGGCCATACCGAGCGCCGACGTGCGACACTTCCGATAAAAATGAAATACATTCCGCAAATCTACAAACATAGATCTACCATACCTGAAAGTATCATGTGTCTACCTAAAGCCGTTTAGGAGAAATCGTGCGGACAAACTGACCCTTAAAAAAACATTAAAGTGCCGATAACTCCGGACCGGAAGTGACGTCATCAAAACGGAAAAAAACGCATAAGGTTCAAGTGATGTAACATAAGTCCTGAAAGTTTCACGGAAATCTATTGAGCCGTTTTCGAGAAATCGCGTGCACAAAATCGGTAAGAAAAAAAAACAATAATAATAACTAGAGCCGAGCTCGTTGCAAAGCAACGAGTAGGTCTTCCGTCCTGTTTGACCGGAAGTAACTTTCATTAAAAAAAAAAAGAGTAATGAAGTCCCAAAATGGTTTAATCCTCCAAATTT